TTAATTTTTCAATTAATTACCCATTCTTGCTGGGCGTATTAACAATGCTTGTAATGTTTACAGCTTCTCTTATCAACGATGGTGGTACGATATAATCGTAGCAGGACGTACTATATGGTTGGGACGGGGCCGGGAGAGACAGAGCGAGGCGGAGCGGGGCGTTTTGGGACAGGGAGGGCAAGGTGGAATGAGGCTAACCTCCGGGGGCAGGCAGGACAAAAGAAGTCGGAATGGACCAGGATAGAACAGCAGGGTGAGTCGGGAACTCATAATTCTTTCATTTCAGGATTTCGTTAATTTCTCTTCTAAAAGATGATAATGAAATATAAATATTCAGGTAATGAAGAGTACTTCCGCTAGTTATTATTATTATTATTATTATTATTATTATTATTATTATTATTATTATTATTATTATTATTATAGGAATCAGTATTAGTACTATTGCTCTTGTGCACTCCCGCTCCATTGTGAAAATCCTCGCTCTGCCCATGACTACATTATAATTCGAAATGGCTTAAGAAATATTGGAAAAAAAAATCAACTGAAATACATTTAATACTATAACGAAGGAAGCGGTTGGGAGATGTCAGATTTATATTTACGACTGATAGTATAACTTTTTATCCGCTTCAATACTTTATTTCATGATTTTACAGATTGACAACTGCTTTATTGAAGTGCAGTATTCCACAATTTGCGATGCCCCGTTAGTAGTGCAGAATACATGAATAACTGTGCGCTAAATTCGTGTACCAATGAATCTAGATTTTGCTCTGAACTCTAGAAGGTACAGATTTCAAATTTATCAAAAGCTTTCTCAGTAAATCACAGTATAACTGATCAAAATTATGGTTATAAATCGTTAAATTAGTAGCACACTCTCCATTATAGTAGTTTGCCTTCTGTCGAGTTTAGAGGAGCAGGTGCTTGTGAGTTGTGAGCCCTTGTAAGTTTCGAAAAATAACAAAACTGATAACTATAAATACTTTAAAAAAAATATATTTGCAAGTGACCAAGTAATTCTTGACAATTTTTACCAGTCTGAAAATTAACTGAATTCCAGAAATAGTTTTGGACCTAAAAGACAGATTTTCATCGAGAACGTATTGTATGTGTATGGTTGTGACGAACACTCATGCATATAATCCAAAATTGCATTTCGACAAATACGTTCAAAAGATCTTGTCAGAAATAATTCTCGAAGTTCAGTTAAAGTATTTTATTTAACTTCACGTCTATGACATGTATATCGAACTAGCCCACAAAATGTTCGCGAAGATACAAGCTACTTGAGCAATTCGCTGGTTTTTGAAATCTCGGTTACCAGAAGAAAGTGCACTTTTTAAATAGTGAAATTAGTGAGTAATAAACTATTTTTGAATATTAAAACACTGACTATTTATCCTCTTTTTACCATTAAGTGATGTATAAAAATGATGTGGAAAACGTGTAACTGTTATTTCAATAATAAAATTCATTATCTCTATTATTTAAGAGACCAGAATGTTTTTGAAAGTTATTAATGAATCGAATATTCCTGACAGTCTGTTAAATTTAGTGTTCCACCAGGAATCAAAACCACCTGAAAGGTTTTTAATTAAAATGATTTAATCTTTTACGTCAAATGTGATCAAAGCGCTGGAAGGGAATTTAATACTAAACTGGCGAAAAGATTTAAATTTTTACGTAACAGGTGTATGTAACAGTAACAGTCCACTTACGTAAATTATCAAAATTTGTCTTTCTATTTAGTTATTCTATTCAACATGCATTTGCACTTGAAATAAATATTTTCTTTCCTCTCCCCAATGCACTCGCACTGGTAGTGTGTTGTATTTTATTTTTATTTTTTATTATATATTGTATTTTTATTTTCCGCGGCCAATACCTACTAATCGTTTGATATTTTTCTTCCTGTTTCAGTTCCCCTTCATTTTTCATTTTCTTCTTTTTCCCTTCGGTTGAAAAGGAAACCGTGTCGTACAACATCTCCTTTCTAAATGTACTTCTTCTAAACTATCTCTCTCCAAACCCTTTGTGAGCTTTTGGAACCCGGATTGTTGACGACCTCTTCTCCGGAGGGTATTACGGAATCTCTTCAGCCATTCTATGGAGATGCTTAAAGAATTTGCATCTCCATTTTCTAATAGTTTCCGATAAAATTCTGTTCGTAAAAGTCGCTTTACTGCGGCGCGACATATCTTCTTCCTCTCTTTGTTCAACCAGTCCCAGATCAAGGAAATTTCCTCTTTGCCCAGCCCATTAGAAAGTATCGCTCGAGAAATCCATCTACCAGATGTAACATGACATTCCACCTGTTTCCCACACAGCCATTCGCAGTTCGCGTTCACGTTCCTTTAATAATTCTTTATTTATATTTTTATTGTATTCTATATTCGTATGACAAAAATAATTTATCTCGAAAATGTTAAACTCAGCTCATTAAAAGCATTGGGCTGTTTCATACGTCTCTCAATGCGGAGCCTGACTAGGAGCGGTCCCCATGCAAAAGAAAATAATGCCCAGAACGCCTGTTATTATGAGGACCGCCGTCCGCTCTCAGAGCTTTTTCATTAGTATCAAGAGATTACGAACTTTCGTTACACAAATACACTCTACAATCTGTTGGGGTGCCCACGTCTCCTAACTACAATTGCTTTTTTTAATAATACAACCAATGGTATTTGTTAATCTTGAATTATCTGATAAATATCGTGTTCGATTCTGTCATCAGTTTAGATTTTATATTTTAGATTTATTCAGTCAAAAAACAGTAAAAACTGTATGTGACGTAGGGGGGAAAGATTATCTGCGCACGTTTTCTTGAGTTCCAGAATTCCTTCCCGTCATTTTAACTATAAATAGTTGAAAGATGAGTAAAAGTTTAACATCAATAAATAAAAATAAATTTTAAAAATCACCAGATTAGCGATATTTGAAAAATAGTCATTTTCGTTTCTGAGCTAGGAAACTTATTTGTATCGGTACACGAATTGCAAGTATGATTTTTCTGCATTGCTAACAAAATAGCACCTCGCCCTTACCACTACTCGTATCATTACAAGAAAAAGGCGAGTTCAACAAGACGTGCGTATGGTGAAGCTACATTTACGTCCAGAAGCAAAAAAGGGGCCATCTCAGCATTTGCTTAATGGATCAGGGAAACTGGACAAAAACCTGACCGAGATAGGGGTCATTGACCCAGAAGCTAAAGTAAATTTTTTGTTACAAACACATTAAGTCTTTTAAAAAAAGTATACAATCCAAATGTAAACTAATTTATTATATCACTGTTTTGTTAAAATAAACATTCTTTTTCTTTTTGATAATCAGCAATTGGCCTATATACCCAGTTTGCCTATATTCTGCTTTTATAATCAATCCGGTTGATATATACCTATAACTATATACTACTACTATAATATAGCCCTATCACTACTATATATACTATATATACTATATATTATTATATATAGTATACTTCGTGCGTTACCTGCGGAACGTTATCCTCACGACAAATAAAATAATATAAAGGACGGTACATTCTCGTGAATGGGCTTCCCAGGGGGAATGACGCTGCATTAGAAGAATGATCGAGGAAACTCTTTTTGCAATGAAAGTTAATGATTGACACACTATATACATAAATTCTTTACAATACGCCAGTGGGCAAGGCCTTTTAATAATTCGTGCACGAGTAACGCTACCTTGAAGCTTCCGATGTCCACCGGCTGACTGGAAGCGAGCGGGGCGCCCGTGGCAACGGCGGCGGGCGTGTTCGGCAAACTTCGGTCCGCCCGAAGCTTGTCGAAAACCGATCTCCCCCGGCGTCGGCTCCGCGGACTCCCGATGCAAGGGCCAACGAACTCGCCGGATCCACCACCCAGCCAATGCAAGCAATGTCACATATACTAACTTGCACAACGCGCAATGGCGTCCGTCGGCAGCTCGATCACAACCGTTCTCTCAAGCCCCACCCGACTATTCCGCACGGTGCGGCCCGCTGCTGCATCACACCCGGCGGACATGGAACGCGTGTCTGTCGGTCACTCAAACTCCAATATTAATGTTTTCACCGATCCCGGTCCTGGTGCGCACTTCCGTTTCTCCTAATCATCTGATAATCTATTTTTAGCACCTCTAATCTCCACTCAATGGCTACAAACAGTTCCACACTATTGGTAATTTCACTACAAACTTGCTTGGGGCAGCACAAGCCGTCCGTGTTGCTGCTCCGCGCTTTCTTCGCCGATACTCTCACACCCGGCGCTCGCGGCCTCCCTGCCGTTACTGCTCAACCGTCACTCGCCTCGCCGTCTGCCCCCGGTTTGACCGTTGGTGGCAGCCGGCGGCGGCGGCGCAGGTACTACGCTGATCGATTAGTGCTTCTTTTACTTAGAATTAGTAATCAATTTTGCTTGTTATCATGCGGAACAACGTTCTTCGTTTCAATATATATATATATATGTGTGTGTGTGTGTGTGTGTGTGTGTGTGTGTGTGTGTGTGTATGTACTCCATGATGGTCACATCATGGCTTTTTTGTTTGAATTATTATTATTATTATTATTATTATTATTATTATTATTATTATTATTATTATTATTTTACCCCTACGATGTTATGAGCCCGCTGAATATAAAATCTACTTCAGGTTGCAAACCAGCTACCTGAGGAGCAGATCTAGTGACTGTCTCCCTGTCGCAATACTTCGCACAAAATGTGGGCTGTTCCAAAGAAAGCAATTTCTTGCACTTCCCAGTCTTGTGAACGACATGGGTGTATAGCCAAGTTCTTACACAAATTTCGCGGAACAAATCCCAGAGCTCCGATGACTATCGGTACGACCTGTGCATTCACACCGCAAATGTAATACATCTCGATTATTATTATTATTATTATTATTATTATTATTATTATTATTATTATTATTATTATTATTATTACTATTGGTATTAAAACCAGTGGTGGCAAAGTTGTCCCTGTGATGGCCCTTAGGCAACGTCGGTGCTGGTGTCGGCGTACACGCTGGTGGCCATCTCGCTGGACCGGTACGTGGCCATCCGGTGGCCGCTGCGGCCGCGCCTCTCCAAGCGCCACGCCAAGGCGGTGATCGGCGCCGTGTGGCTGGTGGCCGTGCTCACCGCCGCGCCCATCGCGCTGCTCTCCACGCTCACCCAGCCCTCCGAGTGGCACGCGCACTGCGGCTTCTTCGTGTGCGAGGAGGTGTGGCCCTCGGCGCAGGACCGCTACTACTACAGGTAGGGCATTAACTAGCGCAGCCAACCTCATTTACATGTTTCAATTGTGTCTTTAATTTGATTTCTTGTCTTATTAATTCTATGGTAGTAATTGCACTGGAGTGAAGGCAAGGCACTCGACGCGCACTCGTGAGAGCGCGCTTCATTGTTGTAGCTGGCTATTGATTGATTGATTGACTGATTGGTGCTTCCGCATACGTCAACTGGTATGCCCAGTCCCGTTAGGATAGCAGGGGTGGATCGAGAGACAAATTTTGGGAGGGAAAATTCAAAATGTTTCGGGCAAATGAGCCATATTACAGATTTTCTAAAATGTCGCAGACTACCCTCAGCTCGTGCTGCAATAAGATTTTATTAGTTTAATGGTTATCTAAAAATATTTTTTCTTGAAAGTTTCGTGACAAGTTAAATTAATAATTACTGAAAAATTTTAGGGAGGAAATTTCTCTCATTGTCTTCCCCGTGGATCCGCGCCTGGGGTAGAGAATTTGACTGTGCCTGGAGAGGGCAGTGTTGCCCCCCCTCCCCGCTGGACGGTAAGATTCAGCGCCGTCCTCCGACTACTACGCCGTCGACTACGACGTCGACTAGGGGACTCCAGACAAATCCTCAGCGAGGCGTCGCTCTAGCTGGGACAAGCTATAAGCTCCCGACTGATCTCCAGAGACGTGTGGTAGTGTTGTAAATGTAGGTATGTGTAAGTGGAGACGATAGCACAAGGAACATTAAGGAATGATCGCGCGTTGTCTGCAGCCCGTTGTTAAAATATTGCTTAGCATTCATCTGGAATTGTTCGGAGAAGCGGAAATTTGCCGATAATAGCAGCTGGACTTCTCCAGACAGCGTTTGAATTCCCTAGTACACAGCTAGTATAGAAAATTCGTCACCATTAGTAATCGAACCTCAGGATCTTCCGGTCAGAATTGCAGCAGAGACTGTGGCAATGACTGCTGTTCTACCTGTGGCTTTTAATCATCCACGGTCCACGACAAACGATCGATGCGCCGCAAGACTTAAATTTTGTATGACGACATAATTTCTGCCTAGAATAAAAATTAAAAGGAGGACTCGATGCAAATCGACCTTGTTACATTTGAATTAATCTTCAATCGTTTGTAAATTATTTTCTATTATTGCTTGTCATTATTGATTTACTTTTCATTATAACTTGCAAAATTATATATTTGAATTACCTGCTACTAGACGTCTGGCCTATGTCTAAATTTTACCTTCTCCCCAATTCGCTGACCTTGCTTCCTCGAACTTCGATGTTATTAAGCATGATCTTCATGGTTTGCACCAGTTAAGGGCAGAGAACGATCTCACCTAGTATTTTCACTTATTAAAGACTTATTTCTTTTGAGAATAAGCTCTCTATAATTCTATTATTTAATATATATATATATATATATATATATAATATATATAATATATATATATATATATATATATAAGTCTGAATATAATGATATATACATAAAAAGAAAATACTCAGAGAAATTTAGATTGTATATATTATATTTCACCGAAGACCTTCAGTATAGTTATACAGAACCTACATAAATTTTTTTTAGAATATAAAACCTTGAAGTGAGGGAATACAATACATTCCTTCTCTCCAATTCTTCAATTCTTGCAGTATTTGCGATGTCGTTCTTCGTTGTCGTATACAATAAATCACTTAGTACAACTTGCAAATTCCAAATTTAAGTGTAAAGGAATATCCTATTAAAACTCTAACAACTATAATTGTAAATGCTAGCACTAAAATAAGTGTGATGCAAATATAACAACAAAAGAGTGTTTATTCCATCTCTCCTTGATTGCGATGTGGAACAACCGCATGCCAGCATGCGTGGCATTGTTCTCCAGAGATCCGTGACAGCGCGCCCGCGCCCGCAGCCGCAGCCGCATCCACAGCTGTTCGTGTCACATTAAACGAGCTCTAGTGCTGCTACGAGCCACTACGCTTCAATCCGACCCTGGCGCAAGAATGGGATCACGCGACACTCGCTGTTGAACACAGAGCGCGCGACGCCTTCTCACGCGGTCTTACTTCGAATGGGATTTCACATACGTCGAAACAGAAAGAGACAGACAAAATTATTTATAATGAGTTAAAATATGATAAATGTGAAGAAGAACATTTCGGCTTAACTTTGCGTGCTTTTATTTACGTACGGTATTATAATATCCAAGTAATGAAAGGAAATAAGCCAGCTACAGAAATACGTAAGACTCGCGGTCAAATTTTATAATTCTAATATACGTAAAGTAAATATTATTTCTGTGCCAGTTAAATATTTGGTTAATTCAAATATAACATGTTTATATGTCCGGTGCTTATTCTAAGGTTAAATGTGTGTATAGAAGAGTTTTCACGGGGTCAGAAGAATCTAAAAATAGTCCAATGCGGCGATACCAAAGGCAGGCGAGTTCTTGATATCCGCGGCGAAGAAGGTTCACATTTACTCCAGTTCCACCATCCCACCGCATCTTTCATCTGCTGATGGAAGAGGAACTGACTTCTCAGACGCACTCTGCGTGCCCCGCAATGCATCTAAAGACTCTTCGATCCTCACATTGGAAACGGATCACGGTTCTTTAGGCACGCTTTAAAGTACCCATGAGGAGCAATACTTCTGGTTTAAGTTTATCTACTCTTCTCAAATGTTGTAGAAGACTTTGAATAAGACAATTGAAGCTCATCTATATTACCAGGTACGCAATATCAAACCGCAACATATTCATTGTCACAGTTAACACAAAGTCACTTGCATAGTTTAATCGTGTGATACGTTTGCTCATTATTCGTTGGAAGTTTTTGATCCTTTACATCCAATTTCACCGTTCTTCTAATCTATTATACTATGAAGTTTTGGGGTAATAAATATTTTTAAAATATTTTTTCTAGCAAATGAAATGTGTTCTTGAAACATAAATACCATAAATACCTTTCTTTGAATACTCTTACGTTCATTGATGATACCTCAAATTACATTTCCTTAATGTGCTCAATTTCAAAGAAAATATGCAAAATATTTCCGAGGATAATCAGGAAAATAGGAAGTTTGATTTTTTAGTAAATTTAAATTTCAACAATGCGAAAAATAATGTTTTTTTTTAAAAATCTATACGAAGCATAAACATACGCTTCCATGCCCGGAGTTGTTTGCAACGTGAACTCACAGATTATCAATCAAATGGGGTGAATGTAATGTCCGCATCCAGCGGAGGGATGGTTTAAAGAGGATCTCGCCAGTGTGAGCCTCGTGACACGACCGTCGTTCCATCTCTCTTCCAGAGAGACAAATGACTGTCGCGGTCTCCACGGTCTGCTTCACAAGCCCTTCACTTTCTCTGATTCACAAGCCACAGATCTTTGGTAGATAAACAAAGTATTTCAAAATAATAAAATAGCGACGATTCTTTGAAAGAATGAAACGAAAATACGGGGACTACAGAAGTTAAGAGAGTTAAAAATGAACTTCGAACAGTGACGATAACTGAAGTTTTAAAACAATGTCTTTATTAGTTATAACAACAACATTGTTGTTTAAGTACTTAAATTATTTAAAATTATGTTTTTAATTATTTAAAAAGGTAATTCTGCAAGGAAATATAATACGACTAGTAGCAATTACGAACATAATTGAAAGAGGTCGATCTGGCAATGATTTTTGCTGTAGAATTGATTAATATGTAAATTATACCCATTATTTCACTGCATATTGAGTACAATGCGTTCAGACGTCACTGAAGCATTTAGAGTATCTTGTACATCATTTTATTAGGAAATTTTGGCTGAATGCAATTTTTTTATAACAGCAATATGATTCTTTTTATAGTTAGATAGTAAAATATAAACACAATTTTAGGTTGCATTTTGATTTTTACTGCCTCGTCGGATTAAACAATAAATACAACAGACACATTACTTAAAAATTAAAAAACACAATGTTTATGTACTTCAAAATCTATTTATGATTTTTCTATTATGAACAAGGATTTCTAACGACGTTGTACGCTGTATTAATGAAATTACATAATAAAGTTGCAAAAATGAGCATTCGTTCGAAGAACAATGATAGTTTATGTGTGGCAAATTCATAAAATTAACATCTAATTTTCTCTAGTTAGAAAATAACGACTAAACAGGTGCAAATACAAGCCTCCACGCTATAACGCACGTTTCCATCGTAACATTTCCTGCAAGTCTACTACTTTGGTCATTAGTTCCCTAAATGTAGTTCTTGTTATACCCGTGAGATGGTGAGTTTGACTGATAAAGTCCCTTTCCTCCCGTGCCTCCCCCAGCGCGGCAATACCCCAACAGGGAAACACTAAGCTCTGTCGTGGGTGGAGTAATGTATTGCGACTATGCGTATGTATATAAAGAGGAGATGAAAAGGATGAGAAAAATAAGACGGCGCGCGATCCGTGGTCCATTTGTTAGAGTTCGCTCCGAAATTTGGGTGGTTTTGATCGCAGAAACGACGGAAAAGTATCGATCAGAGCAGCCGGTCGTTAGAATTCTCCTCCATGAAGAGGTTAAATTCGACTTACTTATATAGATAGCGTCGAAACCCACCGAAATAGGGACTTGAACGCTTAAAATCTCCCGGTTTGAGACGCTGCAGCGGCAACGCATGATGTCACTCAGCTATCTTAACATATTATATTAGACAAAATTTGAGCATTCCAAGTTCTTAAAAACAGTTTTAGGGCCCGGAAGGCGTAAGTTATGTTTCTGAAAAAGTATTTCACACGATAAAATCTTCTGAGCTCTTCTATTTCAAATTACATTTGCCTCGGGAGCCACTGCTCTGTTTGCTGTTGTGGGATTTAGGAAAGAAAATACGTTTTAAAATATATTTCAGAATTTTCAGTTTAATTCACAGGTAAGTGGAGAAGCAGGTAGTGAACATTTGAGTAATCTGAGAGGATCACATGCAAGTATCATGTGAAAAATATGTGGGAATCATGCGAGGAGCAATC